TTTATTTCTATATCTTAATCTTAATGATCAACATATTAATTCTAAACCACATAGTTTTTATATCCTAAATGCATCTAGTTACTCTCCCTTAATATTTGTACAGTTTTTTTTTTCATATTTATCAGGTCTAAGGTATTTAGTCCTATTTTAACAATGAAGCTTAGTAATGTTATTTTTTTTAGAGTTGCTTTAGAGTGTAACATTTATTGATGTCGGTGATCCCATCTTTTGAGCTGTTTTTATATGTGTATATACATAATAGAACATCCCAAACAGGTCTTTGACCTAGGGATGAATTGTTTCATAGTTAAATAATTGTGTGAATTAGTCAATCTAAGTTATTCTTAAGTTACTCTGTGTATAAGCCTGTAAATAAATATGAAACAATAAAGATTTTCTGATTTCTGTATTTAACAGGAACAAATGATGAGATTGAAGACAATGACCACACTAGACAGTCGCTATGTAACATTGATTGAGAGTACCTACTACCACATATTGCCTCCTGATCCAGTACCTCTACCAGAGGAACAACAGATGACTCCCATGCAGTTGTACATCTGTAAACTCATCTACAAGGTAAGAGCTTAGCTAGAGACAGTCGCTATGTGACATTGATTGAGAGCACCTACTACCACATCTTGCCTCCTGATCCAGTACCTCTACCAGAGGAACAACAGATGACTCCCATGCAGTTGTACATCTGTAAACTCATCTACAAGGTAAGAGCTTAGCTAAACAGTCACTATGTGACATTGGTTGAGAGCACCTACTACCACATCTTGCCTCCTGATCCAGTACCTCTACCAGAGGAACAACAGATGACTCCCATGCAGTTGTACATCTGTAAACTCATCTACAAGGTAAGAGCTTAGCTAGACAGTCGCTATGTGACGTTGATTGAGAGTACCTACTACCACATCTTGCCTCCTGATCCAGTACCTCTACCAGTGGAACAACAGATGACTCCCATGCAGTTGTACATCTGTAAACTCATTTACAAGGTAAGAGCTTAGCTAGAGACAGTCGCTATGTGATATTGATTGAGAGTACCTACTACCACATCTTGCCTCCTGATCCAGTACCTCTACCAGAGGAACAACAGATGACTCCCATGCAGTTGTACATCTGTAAACTCATCTACAAGGTAAGAGCTTAGCTAGAGACAGTCGCTATGTGATATTGATTGAGAGCACCTACTACCACATCTTGCCTCCTGATCCAGTACCTCTACCAGAGGAACAACAGATGACTCCCATGCAGTTGTACATCTGTAAACTCATCTACAAGGTAAGAGCTTAGCTAGACAGTCGCTATGTGACGTTGATTGAGAGTACCTACTACCACATCTTGCCTCCTGATCCAGTACCTCTACCAGTGGAACAACAGATGACTCCCATGCAGTTGTACATCTGTAAACTCATTTACAAGGTAAGAGCTTAGCTAGAGACAGTCGCTATGTGATATTGATTGAGAGTACCTACTACCACATCTTGCCTCCTGATCCAGTACCTCTACCAGTGGAACAACAGATGACTCCCATGCAGTTGTACATCTGTAAACTCATTTACAAGGTAAGAGCTTAGCTAGAGACAGTCGCTATGTAACATTGATTGAGAGTACCTACTACCACATATTGCCTCCTGATCCAGTACCTCTACCAGAGGAACAACAGATGACTCCCATGCAGTTGTACATCTGTAAACTCATCTACAAGGTATGAGCTTAGCTAGAGACAGTCGCTATGTGACGTTGATTGAGAGTACCTACTACCACATCTTGCCTCCTGATCCAGTACCTCTACCAGTGGAACAACAGATGACTCCCATGCAGTTGTACATCTGTAAACTCATTTACAAGGTAAGAGCTTAGCTAGAGACAGTCGCTATGTGACATTGATTGAGAGTACCTACTACCACATCTTGCCTCCTGATCCAGTACCTCTACCAGAGGAACAACAGATGACTCCCATGCAGTTGTACATCTGTAAACTCATCTACAAGGTAAGAGCTCAGCTAGAGACAGTCGCTATGTGACATTGATTGAGAGTACCTACTACCACATCTTGCCTCCTGATCCAGTACCTCTACCAGTGGAACAACAGATGACTCCCATGCAGTTGTACATCTGTAAACTCATTTACAAGGTAAGAGCTCAGCTAGAGACAGTCGCTATGTGACATTGATTGAGAGCACCTACTACCACATCTTGCCTCCTGATCCAGTACCTCTACCAGTGAAACAACAGATGACTCCCATGCAGTTGTACATCTGTAAACTCATTTACAAGGTAAGAGCTTAGCTAGAGACAGTCGCTATGTGACATTGATTGAGAGTACCTACTACCACATCTTGCCTCCTGATCCAGTACCTCTACCAGTGGAACAACAGATGACTCCCATGCAGTTGTACATCTGTAAACTCATTTACAAGGTAAGAGCTTGGCTAGACAGTCGCTATGTGACATTGATTGAGAGTACCTACTACCACATCTTGCCTCCTTATCCAGTACCTCTACCAGTGGAACAACAGATGACTCCCATGCAGTTGTACATCTGTAAACTCATTTACAAGGTAAGAGCTTGGCTAGACAGTCGCTATGTGACATTGATTGAGAGTACCTACTACCACATCCTGCCTCCTGATCCAGTACCTCTACCAGTGGAACAACAGATGACTCCCATGCAGTTGTACATCTGTAAACTCATTTACAAGGTAAGAGCTTAGCTAGACAGTCGCTATGTGACATTGATTGAGAGCACCTACTACCACATCTTGCCTCCTTATCCAGTACCTCTACCAGTGGAACAACAGATGACTCCCATGCAGTTGTACATCTGTAAACTCATTTACAAGGTAAGAGCTTGGCTAGACAGTCGCTATGTGACATTGATTGAGAGTACCTACTACCACATCTTGCCTCCTGATCCAGTACCTCTACCAGTGGAACAACAGATGACTCCCATGCAGTTGTACATCTGTAAACTCATCTACAAGGTAAGAGCTTAGCTAGAGACAGTCGCTATGTGACATTGATTGAGAGCACCTACTACCACATCTTGCCTCCTTATCCAGTACCTCTACCAGTGGAACAACAGATGACTCCCATGCAGTTGTACATCTGTAAACTCATTTACAAGGTAAGAGCTTAGCTAGACAGTCGCTATGTGACATTGATTGAGAGCACCTACTACCACATCTTGCCTCCTTATCCAGTACCTCTACCAGTGGAACAACAGATGACTCCCATGCAGTTGTACATCTGTAAACTCATTTACAAGGTAAGAGCTTAGCTAGACAGTCGCTATGTGACATTGATTGAGAGCACCTACTACCACATCTTGCCTCCTTATCCAGTACCTCTACCAGTGGAACAACAGATGACTCCCATGCAGTTGTACATCTGTAAACTCATTTACAAGGTAAGAGCTTGGCTAGACAGTCGCTATGTGACATTGATTGAGAGTACCTACTACCACATCTTGCCTCCTTATCCAGTACCTCTACCAGTGGAACAACAGATGACTCCCATGCAGTTGTACATCTGTAAACTCATTTACAAGGTAAGAGCTTAGCTAGACAGTCGCTATGTGACATTGATTGAGAGCACCTACTACCACATCTTGCCTCCTTATCCAGTACCTCTACCAGTGGAACAACAGATGACTCCCATGCAGTTGTACATCTGTAAACTCATTTACAAGGTAAGAGCTTGGCTAGACAGTCGCTATGTGACATTGATTGAGAGTACCTACTACCACATCTTGCCTCCTGATCCAGTACCTCTACCAGTGGAACAACAGATGACTCCCATGCAGTTGTACATCTGTAAACTCATCTACAAGGTAAGAGCTTAGCTAGACAGTCGCTTTGTGACATTGATTGAGAGTACCTACTACCACATCTTGCCTCCTGATCCAGTACCTCTACCAGTGAAACAACAGATGACTCCCATGCAGTTGTACATCTGTAAACTTATATACAAGGTAAGAGCTGAAATTTGAAAGCTGTTCTGGAAACCTCTGTAACTAATAGAGAAAACTGAAAACCAAAAGTTGTATTATAAATTGTCATTTTTAGAGTAGCACATACTGTCATATCGAAATAAAAATAAAAAAAGGTAAAATCATAGTAAAAAAAAAATGTTTCAGCTCAGTGGTCATTGATTACTGCTGAATATTTATAGTTGAACGAAGTTACTTCACAAGAAGGCGTAGCAAAAATCATTGGTCTGGTAAGTGCTCATGAGAGCAATATCTTCTTGTGGAGGGCTATCCCGTGAGAGGGGGAATCTGGGACGAGACTCCAGTTCGATGGATGGCTGGCATGCCCATTTACATTGGATGTTTGCCATAAAATTGAAAAATATTGCCACACCTTTTTAAACATCCAATCAGAATATTGACTCACCATTTTGACATCTGATGTTGACACAAAGAACTCTTGGATAAGGAGGGGAACGGATTTGCAGACATTAAGCAAATGGTGTTAATGTCATAACCCATTAACTGAATTCCCCTTATGTTTATTAGCACAGGGGTTATCACAGATGATAGTGTTAACCTGCTACAAAGCATATGTAAAGAGCACAGTGGTGGGCCTTCTGGTCCCAGGCTCAATTCCACAACCTAGGGCTTTTGGCTACATGATAATGCCAGAACCCTCTTGGCCTTGCCTAAAGTAATATGTCAAATAAAATGTTTCCGGACTAGAGCCCAGCATCCTAATGTGAAGGTAGGACATAAGAAACAGGAGAAAGTAATGGTGTTGTTAGCTGGGTAACCAAGTAGTAGAGATTTTGAGAAGCTACCTGTTGGTTGTGGGGTCAACACTAAACAAAGCACACTTTACTGTTTGAATTCAAGCACATTTAATTTCCTTGATTATGGGTTGAAAAAGTGATTTCAACACAAAATGAAATTACCCACTGACGAAGTCGTACAAGGGGATGAAATATCATCAGTGTTATGTTGTTTAATGTTTTAAAATAATATGTTTCAGGATTTGGTCCAGCCTGATTCGGAGATAAAAATCATGAATTGTTTAAGACAGTTGGACTGGAATGACCCAGAGATAGCCTCTTTTACAATTTCTTGTCTGACAAATGCTTCCAAGTTGTGCTACAACAGAATCAGAGGGTTGGCTCTTACAGTTTGTGCGCTGATTGACTATCAGGTAGTTATTTATATAAATAAAACAATTTTTAACATAAATTTATAGACTAACGTTTTTAAACCATACAAAGGGATCAAAAGTTTTATTTGTCTGAACAAAGTCAAGTGCTGTGCCCATCCTATATTAACCTACTTAAGCACCCTTTATCCTTTAGTTTGTGTATCCTCACTGTTTTTGGAGATATACAAATACTTTGAAGGGACATAATTTAAGAGTTTTTATGTTAGTTAATTTTAGGCTTAAGTAATTAATTTTGGTTAGTTATTATTATAAAATTGTTAATTGATTTGATTGAACTTACATTTTGGCACATGTTAAGAAAGTTTATTGGTTATGATTATAAAAGGACAAGCTATGTAGTAGCTAATTTGTGATTTTGTTTGATTTTTAATTTTTTTTTTGTAAAAGGTAGGAAATGAGGAAAAATTTTGCCCACAGGCTTTAAGTTATATTAAACAACTACACTAGAAGAACAGTTTTTACAAGGATATGAACAAAGTGGCACATGTGTGTATCTACAATTCTACATGAGTCCTACAATGGTAGTTGTCAGAACCAAGCAAGTCTACTGTATATTTGTTTTTCAACATATGCGTTAACTAATCTTACACCATATGTATGTTTATTATAGGAAGATGCTGTGTGCAGAGTGATTGATGGTGTGCTGGAAGATATAAGACTTGGAATGGAGGTGAACGATGCGTCATTGAACCAAAGACGTGTAGCAATGATCAAATACCTTGGGGAGCTTTACAACTATAGGATGCTGGATACCTCAGATATCCTCAGAGTAATTATTGTTTATTTATTTGTTTTTCACATGCCATGCAGATGCAATTTCCACCGCAATATGTATGGTAAAAGAGAAATGGAATTTTATAAAATATTAAATAAGCTAACTTAAGATAATCCTATATATTAAAACGAAACAGGGTTTTTTTTATTTCACTTTGACGGATTTTTATGATTTTTGTGTTGAAAGAAAGATAATTTTGAGAACTAGGGAATGTTGGAGCCATAATTTTAGTTTAGGGTTTCAGTTTTTTAGAAATTAAGTTTTAATTTTCAAAAAGTCTAGCAGCCGACGGACTAGTTAAAGTTGTTTTAGTGGTGGTTTAACTAACAGCTGGTTTCTAACTGTCATTGAAATGTTTATACTTAAAATGGTTTACAATACCTGCATATAGTAATCCTTTGTTGCTGATTTTGGCAACTAGTTTCGGTTCATTATTGAACCATCTTCAGGCCTCAAGGTGTCAACACTTCATTCGAAGGTCGTTAATAACAGAATTCAATAAATAAGACATATACAAAACACGGTACACGGAACGTACACACATTACAAAAAACACGAAAAACACGAAGGGACATTGACAATTGATCGTGACCGGGCTGAGGTAAAGTCTAGACTAGGGATGGGCGATTAGTGTTTTTTTGAGTTGAGTCGAGTCGAGTTGAGTAATTAGCCCTAGTACTCGAGTATCGAGTCGAGTCGAGTCGAGTAGTTCACGAGAAAATCAACAATTTTATTTTACATATATTCCATCTTCATTTTTACAAACGAAGCCTTTCTCAATTCACCAAAAATAGACCTGGTTAAAAACTTTTAAACCATATAAAAAACACAATACAGTATGTATGTGTGTCAAACTTATATTTTGGTACTAATTTGAAATAATAACTCCGCCAATATATATGAATTTTTAATTTTATGAGGCCTTTCGCCAGCTATGCTGGCATCATCAGACACATCACAAAACTGAAGGTTATGTTTATGTTTACAATTATAAATTTTAAAGAATGTGACATATGGGTAGTTAAAAATAAAAACTATTCTGTTAAGTTCATTTAGCTAAAGTTACAAAAATAAATCATATATGTATAAAAATGAAATATCAAACAGGAATTAACTTATAACTTAGTAAATTTAGAATTTAGTAATGTAACATTTTGAATTGGACCGTTATCATTATTTACCAAATTGTCCATTTTATTTATAAATAATGATTCCCATGCATTTAGTTCATTGGATTTTGTTATATTTTTTAGTGATTTAGTATTATTGATTGATATTGTGTGGTCCGTTTCTAAGCAATGTTTTGCTATTGCTGATTTTTCTGGTCTGTTGTGTGTTATGTGAGAAGTGTGTTCTTTGAATCTAGTTTTAATATTTCTTTTTGTTTGTCCAACGTACTTCATCTCACAACTGTCACACTGAATTTGATAAATGCCAGATTTTGATGTATTTTCTAATTTTGTTTTTGGATTTCCAAGAATGTTTTTAATTTTGTTTTTCGCTTTAAATGAAACCATTAATTCAGCATTTTTCTGAAACGTTTTCTTGACGTCTTTATATTGCTTAGTATAGGTAGCACTTACCCATTTCTTCTTTACTTTGATTGGTTCCAGTTTAGTTCTTTCTTTTTCTCATTTCTTTTCAAAGCTTTTGTCAACATATTGTCTACAATTTTTGTTTCGTATCCATTATACTTAGCCACCCATTTATTTTTAACTACCCATATGTCACATTCTTTAAAATTTATAATTGTAAACATAAACATAACCTTCAGTTTTGTGATGTGTCTGATGATGCCAGCATAGCTGGCGAAAGGCCTCATAAAATTAAAAATTCATATATATTGGCGGAGTTATTATTTCAAATTAGTATTAATTCCAATATAAACAGTTCTTCCTGAAGATTATATTTTGGTGTTAAAGGTTTATTATTAATTGCAAAAAAACAATTGCAAAAATATGGAACTAAGTGTTTATTTTAAAATAGGCCTAATGTAAATGTTTGAATTTGACTAAAGCATGAGATCTAATAAAGTTTCCTCTAATTTATAAATAGGCTTATGGCTACGTACACATGGGAGCGTTGCAACGCGCGTTGTAACACGCTTCAGATAAGCCTTTGCGTATACATGACAGTGTTGCAACGAGCGTTTGAGCAATTTTGTCTCATAGCATGTCTTGGCATAGCCATAAAAGTCGAAAAGGTAGTTTTTACTAACTCTTTGTGAGGGAGTTGTACTATAGATATAAAGAAAGAAAAAAATCTAAATACCCTCGTTGCAGCTTAGTTTAATATTTCAATTATAAAATATTAAATTAATGATGTTTTTTCCTTTTTGGACATCAAAATGGAAAAAGTAAAGCAGCCCCGGGTAATTGTGTCGGGGAAAATTTCCTAAGAACACTGTTTACAAGAAAGTTTAGCTCGTATGTTTTTTTTCTTTCTTACTTTGTAACCTAACCGAGGATACGAACGTCAGCATTTAAATACCAAAGCATGCAAATTGCTTCATTTAACGAAAGTTAAAATTTGTCTAGCATCTTGTAAGAGCATTGTTAGGGATTGGATTTTAACAGAAAAGATCATCGTAATTACCATAAGGTATTTTATATAGAAGTACACAGTAAACATACATAAAACCTACTCCCCTCTACCCCAAAACGCGCGTTACAACGCTCACATGTGTACGGTTCCATAAGAACCTTCGTAGCTCGAGGCGCGCTGCTAGCGCGCGTTGCACGATGAACCTCTGAGGCGCGCGTTGCAACGCGCGTTGGCTGAAGCACTGGCGCTGCATGTGTACGCACATATGCGCACACGCAGCGCCCCAAAAGTTGTTTGAGTGGCATTTGATTGCTGTGTTTCTAGGACGCGCGTTGCAACGCTCCCAAGTGTACAGGGTCTATAAGTATTTATCTAAGTCATTTCTCAGTTTTTGTATTTATTTGAAATTCCATGAAATTGTCTTAGTTAACTCATTAGTTTATAATTTTTTTTAAATTACGTAGCCTACATCTTGGTCTACAAATACTCTTTGTAAGGTAAGTTTTTTTCCCCCAAGTGAGTAAAAACTAACTTCCTATATAATTACATTTTCTCACTAATGATATATCTTCAAAATTTGTTTAACTATGAAAAAGTCACCAAGTCTAGCTGAAAACATATACATAAATGAGGATATTTTTGAAAACAGAATAACTAATCAGACAAAATTTTTAACACTTTTATTTCTTAACTTTTTTTCCTTGAAAATGTCAACAGTTTTTCACTTATTTTTAATAAAGATTATCACTTATAATTGTTTTAAAGAAGTCCAGATGTGTGAACTTGAAGAGCAGACAAGAGACATACGTCACTGCCACAAAAACTCTTCTCTACTGTGAATGAATGAACTGTTTATTGTGTGAAGCCCCGCTGACCGTCTAACGGGACATGGGGGAGGAAAAGAGAAAGTTTGGCAGAATTTGCCCTTGTTCTAAAGCCTGGTTCATATGCCCTTCCTCGCCCTCGGCCTCAGTCGCTTGCAGATTTCCATTACACAAGAGTGTTAATTATTTTGAAATACTGTAAATGTTTGAATTTGACTATGATGAGATCTAATAAAGTTTCCTCTAATTTCTAAATAGGCTTAACTTTTTTAAGTATTAATTTAAGTCATTTGTCAGTTTTTGTGAATTTATTTTTGTCCATGATATTTTTAAATGTTCACATATCAGTAGGGAGTAGCACACTTAAAAATATCATGGACAAAAATAAATTCACCGTATCGTTCAAGACTAACAATAAACTTGGATCTCTATTGAAAGAAAAAACAGAAACTAATTCAACCATCTACGATAAGTCTGGAGTGTACAAAATAAATTGTAATGACTGCACGAAATATTACATTGGCCAGACTTCACGCTCGTTTAAGAAGAGGTTTAAGGAACATATGCCGAGAAAGACAACAGCTCCCCAAACATCAAATTACGCAGAACATCTGGTATTACACAACCACAATTATTCAAACATCAATAGTAATATGGAAGTTTTACATTTTTCGCAGGACCGTTTAAACAGAAACACATTGGAGGAGTTTGAAATATACAGAGCAGTTAAAGCTGACCATCAAAACTTTTTGAACGATAAACTCTCCTTTCAATCCAACTAAATTTGCAATACAGCTATTAGGATACTGGAGGGGAACAATGAATGAATGAACACGCACCGGTGATAAGAAGACAGAGACAACGTCATAGACCACTTTGAACGCTAGTCTAGACTTTACCTCAGCCCGGTCACGATCGATTGTCAATGTCCCTTCGTGTTTTACGTGTTTTTTGTAATGTGTGTCTGTTCAGTGTATCGTGTTTTATATATATCTTATTTATTGAACTCTGTTATTAACGACCTTCGAATGAAGTGTTGACACCTTGAGGCCTGAAGATGGTTCAATAATGAACCGAAACTAGTTGCCAAAATCAGCAACAAAGGATTACTATATGCAGGTATTGTAAACCATTTTAAGTATAATACATTAATCCGGAGGCTAAACAACTATTTTTTGAAATGTTTATGTTACAAGTTGTTTGTATACAAAAATATTGATCGTCAGAGTTTGCCTACACACTATTTTACTTTAAAATACAGTTTATTTTCTACTGTAAAAGATCCATGTTATCAGGAGATTGTGTAATTTTGAACCAAACATTTTAAACATATAATCAAGTTTTGTCATAAATGATATCCGTCTAAGTATAAGTGCTTAATCCTTTAAGATATAAGTGGTTTATGTGTTGATACATCCTCTTCCAGATGTTTGAATATAAGTATGACCGCATACAGTACACATTTTATTCGTAATGAAAATGTCAACCGGTGTAGTAGGTCTCCAGAAAACTAACCAGTAAGCTGCAGGGTGTGAGTAGAAACCAAAATCGATTCATACCATAACCATCCCAGTAGTACTGTATGATTCAGAAAGTTAAAATAAAGTATAGTTTGGAATAAAGGGGTACATTCCAAAAGTAGACCAAAAGGCTCGGATCTCGGATGGGCTGGGCAGGCTTTGCATGGTGGAGAGAAGATACTTCAACTTTTAAAAGTGTATTCCAAGGAGTACTACAAGGTAGACGACCACTTGGAAGACCAAATAATGAAAGACATCTTCAGACTGGTATCTTCCTGTCATCCAGAAATGGCAGGGGATAGAAGAGAACAGGAGGCCAGGATCATTTTAGAGGTTTCAGTGGTCAAGGTGGTAAAATAAGGTACGGTAAGTGATAGTAGGCCTATGCAGTGTCATGAGGACACATTGTGTGTTACCGTGTTACCACTACTCAACACATGCAGCTCACCAGTAGATACAATTTATATCTAAATAGCTGGTAGCTAAAGTGCTTGCTCCTGTAGTCAGGAGGTCACCGGCTCAACCTGAAATAAGTCTGTAGCTTTTTGATAGTTTGAAACTAGGTCCAGCTGTACCATTTGATCATAAAGGCTTGTAATGAACGATCCTGACTACAACTTGTCGTCTTGGTGAGTAACAAAACCACACAGATCATCTCACTTCCTTATACTGTACACTCACCGTCATTTATACTCAGCTTAATATATGCGGCATTGTCACAAAGAATTGATTGATAATTGATTGTGTTGTCTATACAGACATTGTACTCGTTGATATCCTTCGGAGTGTCACAGTCAGCTGATGTGTCCTCACCAGTCGATCCTCCCACCAGTGTGATGAGGATACATCTTGTATTGTTACTGCTCAACAGCTGTGCTTTACCATTGGACAACGATGAAACCGCCAAGAAATTGGATTACTTCATTACCTATTTTCAGGTATATTTGGTAACAAGATTTTTGCTAAAGCTTTGTAGTGGAAACAGTACTGGTTTTTTAGTACCAGTCTAGTTTTTAATGTTTTAGAACATAATTAACAGTACCTAATTTTTAGACGTGTGCAAGTGGCTCAATTTTGGAATATAACTAAGTTCCAAAGTTGGAAAATAAAGCTTGAGCTGAGCTTTTACTGTTGTGGTTTTATCGCAATCACATAACATAACGTGTCTGCAAAGATTACATGATTGGAAAATTAACACTTTTGCTGGAGACGATGATTATGTACTCACATGACGGCATGAGATATTCATGATTTTGCCGCAATCTCGGAAAACAATGATGATGTCCACAAATCCATGAAAAATTATTCAAACTTCAAAGCTGCGATAGGGAAAGACAATGATGATGCGTACAAGGCTGTAGGAGATTTTCAAGATTTCTCTGCAATTTCAAAGACAATGATGATGTGTAACAAGACTGTAGATTTTCAAGACTTCTCTGCAATTGCGAAGACAATGATAATGTCTACAAGACTGTAGGAGAATTTCAAGATTTCTCTACAATTGCGAAGACAATGATGATGCGTACAAGACTGTAGGAGAATTTCAAGGTTTCTCTACAATTGCGAAGACAATGATGTAGAGATGTGCGAGTACTCGAGATTACGAGTTCGAGTCGAGTACGGCCTTGAAACTCGAGCTTATCTTTGAACTCGGCAGTTTCGAGTCGAGTTTGGTTTAAAATTGTAAAAAATCAATATTTGTTAAAATGTAACTTGTGTTTACATAAAATGCTTTATAATTTGTATTACTATAGATTCTACAGTAATACAAATATTTCTACAGTGTAGAAATAAGCAAGAGGTAGTTGTCCTAACCTATTTTTATAGCTGTCACAACAGAATAGGTCAACTCAAAGCAGTCGCCGGCGACTGACTGGCAATGGCAATGGCATAATCTGGCTGGACTTGACACTGAATGACATGATCGGTAGTGATTTTGTTTTAAAGTACTGTTTCACAATAGAAAATTCCACTACTGAACTGTTACAACCAATAAATCTATGTTTAAAAAAGTCAGTTAAGTTTTAAAAAGAATAGAAACACTACAAAAGGCAAAACAATAGAAGGGAGGGAGGGGTTGTGCAATGACCTCGAACTGCAACTGAGCCGGCGAGTGGTGTAGGGGGTTGGGGGGAAGGGGAGGGTAAGACCTTGGAGCTATATTTAGACCAGACTAGACTTTCACCACTTCCGAAATGGCTGGGTAGGGGCAGAGGGATTACAATAGCAGGTTTTTTCCTTGCCTGGTTTGACTTGAATTGACCACAATTAATTATTTAGCATTGAAAATACAATCTGCAAGGGACCAGGAGAAATATTCAAATTAGAGTTAATACCATGATTTACATTTTTATGTCAAAATACAACATTGCACAATCATGATGTTTTGGGTCATTGACCTTCTTAACGCATCTGTTATAAGTTGATAATTATAAATTGATGCTACCGTGGTTGAAAATAATTATTCTGTAAACTTGTAAAACATTAGATAACTCATACCCACATAGCAAAATTTGGTTGTTTGTTGGCTGAATTGGCCCTCAATTTTCAAGACACCAACCTTGAATTAAGGAACAATATTCAAGACATCAAGGCGAAATCAGGCCTGATTCAAGCATCCAAGTCAACACAGGTTTGGGTTGAAACAGCCTTGAATTTTATTGCCTGTTCCAAGCTCAAAACCAAGCAGATTTCAAGGGAAATTTCAAGTTCCAAGGCATAAACAAGGTTAATTATTGACTGAACCAAGGATGATTTTTTTTAAATTTTGAATTTTATTGGCAAAATTAATCTAAATTTACTTGGTTACATGTCTTAAAAATTAGTTTACATTTTCCACCTAATTTTCATGAGATGTAACTGAGTAAATTCAATAACCAAAACCACACAATAGCTTGAAACATATGGAATTGTTAGTTCAATACTTACTGCTTTTTATAACTTTTTCATAATCTAGTATAATACTCTAATGTTTTTTATAAAAATGGTCAGAATATAAAATATTAATTCAGAGGAATATTTCTTAAGTAATTTTATTAGGTAAATGAAGTTTTTTTATCAACCACCATTTGATAACTTATTTCATTTTTACACTGAAAATTATTTCACTTTACTGGCTATATATCATTTATTTTTGATTATATAAAAAGTATTTTCTGCCCAATGATATATTTTTTGACTTTGCATCTTAAAATTGGCACTCAGCATGTTATAAAATATTAATCTATCTATAATAAAAAATATATTTAATCCATAAAACTGTTAAAATAATTAGAACATAACAAAAAATGTATAACCATTTTTACACTTTTACTTTACTTTCATCTATTGGAACTAAGTAAATTACAGAGAAGTGTGCTGGTAAGAATTAAAACAAAATTAACTGTTCTTGATAGAAATAATGTTTATTAGAAAATTATTATAAAACAATAAAAAATAATAGAGTTAATAAGGTATATACAGCGGCCAACCTAATCCAAATCGTGGTCCAGAGCTGGGGCTACTTCTTTCTTCCTGAAACAAGCATTTCAATCTTATTAGAGAAAATCAAAATTTTTACAATGTGAAAAAATGTGAATGTTAGGGTTTCTGGTACCTAGTTTTAAATCTTATGACCATAAGGCTGGTTAAAGATGACAGGTTCTTAACTTAAGCATTGAGGGACTTTAGTTAGGAACACTATTCATTGAACACATCACTGTAATGTTACACAACACACTCAGTGGCAGTAAATAAGTCCCACTTTATGGTAAACTACCTTACCCTAACCTAAAAGTTTTAAATTGGTTTATTCCGACTAAGCATGTGCGACACAAACTCAAGCTTTGTGGGACTTTCATTGTTTGTGAAAGACACACATTAGTTAGGAATATTCATTGACCACATCACTGTAATGTTACACAACACACTCAGTGGCAATAAATAAGTCCCACTTTACGGTAAACTACCTTACCCTAACCTAAAAGTTTTAAATTGGTTTATTCCGACTAAGCATGTGCGACACAAACTCAAGCTTATTTGTGGGGCTTTCATTTTTTTGTGAAAGACACATATTAGTTAGGAATATTCATTGACCACATCACTGTAATGTTACACAACACACTCAGTGGCAATAAATAAGTCCCACTTTACGGTAAACTACCTTACCCTAACCTAAAAGTTTTAAATTGGTTTATTCCGACTTAGCATGTGCGACACAAACTCAAGCTTATTTGTGGGGCTTTCATTTTTTTGTGAAAGACACATATTAGTTAGGAATATTCATTGACCACATCACTGTAATGTTACACAACACACTCAGCGGCAATAAATAATCCCACTTTACTGTCAATTACCTTACCCTAACCTAAAAGTTTTAAATTGGTTTATTCCGACTAAGCATGTGCGACACAAACTCAAGCTTATTTGTGGGGCTTTCATTTTTTTGTGAAAGACACATATTAGTTAGGAATATTCATTGACCACATCACTGTAATGTTACACAACACACTCAGCGGCAATAAATAATCCCACTTTACTGTCAATTACCTTACCCTAACCTAAAAGTTTTAAATTGGTTTATTCCGACTAAGCATGTGCGACACAAACTCAAGCTTTGTGGGGCTTTCATTGTTTGTGAAAGACACATATTAGTTAGGAATATTCATTGACCACATCACTGTAATGTTACGCAACACACTCAGCGGCAATAAATAAGTCCCACTTTACGGTAAACTACTTTACCCTAACCTAGAAGTTTTAAATTGGTTTATTCCGCTTATTTATTCATTCCTTGTAAAAGACACATATTAGTTAACAATACAATTCATAGCTTAGAATGTAAATAAAGTTGCAATCAGATAATAATAAGAAATATACCTCCTGCTCGTCCTGAATTTGGCTTGATGTAGCCAATTACTAATCAACGTCTTTATTGATGCCTCTGTAGCCTCAGAAAAGTTCTTTCTTGCAGCCACTGCAACATTAAGACAAATATAAGTTTAATCTACAACAACAACCAAACAGCAAAATTTAGAGGTTCTCAATCAGAGGCTACAACATTTAAATGTACGCTAATACATGTAATAAAACATTTGGCATCCAAGTATTACTAAATGATTTGGGATTCCGGAGTATTGGGGGGGGGAAATTTAAGCGTCTGAAATTTATCTTGTTATGTCTGCAACTACCAACACCGTATGCCGCACAGATCTAGTTTTTCTGGAATAGAAACCCCTGAATGGCTAAAAATTCCACACCCCTATCATGACTGGTGTCTTAAACTTGAATTTTTCAGTAGGTAGAGATAAACCCCAAGTTATTAGAGGTTGTGAGATGTGGACCGATAAGGAAACTGTAGCTGAAGTTAAATGTTTGTGTTATCCACATTTACTCTAAACCTATTTTTTACGTTAAAATGTTAAAATTACATCATGAAGTAAAATAACTATTTCAACAACCATACAAAGATTCTCATGATAACATAATTATTTCATTGAAAGAGAAGGACAGGCACCAACTGAGTTTAAAGAGAATTTTTTAGTAGCACAAGTCTTTAAGGAATAAGTTCACCTTACAAGTCTAATCTTTATTTCTTGTGTTAATTTCATAGCCTAGCACAATTCAATAAGGTACCTAAGTTAATACACAATTTAAGAATCGCAATGCTCGACAACGATAAAAATTATTATTAACAATTGGTGTAAGTTAGGCCTATAGGGTACCCTTAACCCCATTGACAGTTAAAAGGGCAATCAAAAAGCCGAGTAAGTTCTTAGGGAGATGTATATAGTTTACATGTGAGCTCAAGGGTTACTGTCGGTATATTAAAAGAGAAGAGGGCTTTTCAATTAGATGGTCTTAGGCTAATGTTTTTTTCCATAAAATAAAAATGTCTTAAAATATTATAACTTATGCATTGTTGTACATGTTATACCTAGGTTAAATTATTTTATTTGTTTGAATTCTTTAAGCTTAACTGTGGCAGGTCTTAGGCCTGCGATCGTCGGTATGACGCTGCGGTCACGGATGAATGTAATGAAAGTTCTCATATACCGTGGGCCTAAACTAAAAAGACACATAATTTATCTATTAGAGATAGGGCCTATAACGAATTGTATGACAGACAATATTTGAAATGGATTCAAGACTTTCTATTGCCAATAGGCCCTACCTATTAGCCTACCGATATTGCTTTTTTCGGCTGTTGTAGCCTAATTGTCATCGATACTTCTAGACTTTGCATGAAGCCTACCTCAACCCCCTAGAGTAGATAGGCTATAACTTAAGTAAGGCCTAGTAGGCTAAAGGTTAAGTTACCGAACCTATTTTTTACTTGGCTTTCATGTAAGTTACATAGGCCTATACGACGCCTAACAAGTAACCCTGTGTTTAATTTACATTCATTTAAGACTAGACTACTGGTCCCTAGTACAATTATTACCCACGGTAACTTAGGCTACTTAAATGCAAATATGAATAGGGATTTATTTATCATTTTATGGTAGGCCTAGGCCAATATTTAAAAGCCTTACTCAGGCTACCTTGTAAAAATTAAAACATTTATGAATCAAAACATAGCTTAATATAGCCTAGCCTAGCCTTAACATTAATTTCACACTGTAAGTTGTAGGTCTAATATACACACAGGCTAGGTCACAGTCTCGCATGTGGGATATTAAAATAGGTATAGGTCTAAGTTTAGTTTAGTTATAAAAGTCGAAAGTTAAGTTACACCTTTGAAAATAGTGGCGCTTGATTAACTTTATTTGAGGTTAAAGAAGTTAGCTATGGCTACTTTCACCTAAATTAGGCCTGTGATTATTACAATTATAAGTGAGCAATTTATAAAACAATCAATGTAACATGTGAACGGTTTCTAGTTGGATTGAAAATAATCCTAGGATCAAATTCATACATGACAAAATCAAAGCCTAGAGACAGGAGTAGCCTAGATGGTAACTTTGTTCCTGTAGCAAGTGAAATAATGAACTCTTATAATGAATACAGTTGTATTTGAAGAACTTACCTTTAATTAGTTTAGAATTGAAAAGTCCAATAAGCACTTAACTGAGTTAGAATAACTGTAAACTTAAAACAAAAAGAGATCTGAGGAGCAGGAGAGTTCAAGCGATGACTAAGTTAAAGTTTAGACTGCTATATTGCAAATGGCGGAGTTGAGGCGAGGGTAGTTTAGGGGGAGCGCTACCGCTAGCGCTGCGTTGCGGTGGCGTCGGTAAACAACCGTTGAAGCTACAAGGAACAATCAGGCAATAAACAGGAGCCGGAGTACCAAACACGATTCGTTGTCCTTGGAACAGTCCTGAATCAGGCCAAAAATATCAACTTGAATTTTTAAGCAAAATTCAAGAACGAAGTTGCCCTTGAATCAAGGACTGTTGCTATCTGGGTAAATAAGTATGAATTCATTCATAAAGACAATAGTAGCACTCCTAAAAAAAGCTTACAAATATCTCAAAATAATTAAGTGCTAGCACTTGGCCTTCTAGATTACATAGTTTGTTTTCCTTCATGACAACTTGCATTAATGTGGTTAATGTGCATGGAATACAATTGATTATAGTGAGTTAGGCCTAAGTCTAGGTTTCATTTGATTTCTATAACTACTATTGTATGAGCCTATTACATTATTCAGTACAGTTTTCAATCTACAATTGTTTTGTTTATCAGTAAGGTAGACTACTTGTAGGCCTATTTGTACTTTATTTTTAACATATATTTTGAGTATTTTGACAGAATGTTTGTTTACAATTAACATACAAGATTAAAAAATTTATTTTTCTTTATTTCAAAATTTATTTTTACTTTACCCACTGTCAAACCATTGGAAATTTTGTAGGCCTACTGTTACAAAAACCACACCAACTAAAAGAATAATGGTAATAAACTTACAAAACTAAAGGTGAAAAGGTAGGAAATAAAATTTCAAGTTTTAGAATAAATCTCTTTATTAAACTTATTATTGTAATTGCAACCTTAATAACTAATAGATGCAAGTATTAAGTAATTTTAGCCAAGTATTATGCAATATTACTTATCAATAGGGATTATTGTATTTAATTTGTGGATAAATAAATATATGCTCACTTACCTATTTTTCACAGAAGTAGAAGTTCATTTATGAGCTCTATTGTTGTTGTTTTAAAATTATTTTCTATGCATTATATTGATATGTTACTGCACAAATATTAATAATTAATTTATTTATAATCATATTTCAGCTTGTAACAAGGTTGTTTTAAAAGTTACATGCTCTAGGCCTAAGGAGTTACTTAAACTTACACATTCTTCGATCTTTTGGGTTTAAACTCGACTCGAACTCGAGACTCGAATCTTTTGCCAATTACTCGACTCGAACTCGACTCGACCTGAAAAACCTGTGCTCGCACATCTCTACAATGATGATGTCTACAAGACCGCAAAAGGTTTTGACGATTTTTCCGTAGCCCCAGAAACTAAGGTGAATGGCTTGAGGTCCGATAAACAAGGTTTCACAGTAGTTTTGTAAAAAGATTCATTTATATTTTCTATCTTGAAATCTATAAAATAAATCTTTTACTGATACTTATTGGTAGCCGTGTTTATAAATTGAATAGGCTTATTTGTTAAGAACCTTGGTATTTACAGCGCATACATTTATTTAGCATTTTTTTTTACCGCTCAGCCCTAAAAACCTGGATCATATTTTTCTTGAGTTTCAACTATTCAATAATCTCTAATCACTTAAACCTAAGGAAAATACTTGAACCTTTTGTGCAACTTATTAGTTTAAATTTTTGTAATTATTGTAATCAATGTATGTTGCGATTGTTATAGCGTTACTACTGGATCAAAAAGTCAAACCACATTTGGAACGATGAACAACCGTTTCCTAAAGACATAGTCTTCCAGTATGAAGATACCTTGAATAGTTTGTCACCTGACATGAAACCAGCGACGGACCTTGTGACGGCCATTAATGCCGTTAACAATATCAACAGCAAGATGTATTCTAAGGCTGCCACTGATAATCCTGTGAGTATTATTTTATCGGATTGCAAAAGATGTTATATATTTTTAGAATCAAGACTTAGTAGAAGAGATCTTGAACATCCAACATTTTTTTGCTAATGACACTCGTTAATGTGAACGTGAACACTTATCGTACATATTTAGTGCATCATTAAAATCATGACAAAAATTTAAAACTCCAAATTGATTGAATGCTAAGGGTACAAACCTTAAAAAGGAATGAGAGTCCGGTACCCAAGACAGACAAAAAGTGAACAGAAATCTGCTATCTGGTGTTATGTAAAAATACATATGTGTTGATTCTAAAATTCACATCAATTCAAGTGTAACAATGTTCATTTTGTGGTTTTAATACCTTTGATTCCTTAATACTTTAATACCGAACATTCAATACCTGTTTTTGTATAGATTATTCTGAGCTCATGAAAGTATATTTTTTCAGAATTTGGACTCACTTCTTTGTACTGTGTTTGAAGATAATGAATCAAGTGACACGGATTCCGATGAAGATAAAAGTTAGTTAGCTCTTTATTATTAACAATTTAAATCTATTCAATGTAACATTCTCATCCTGGTCAAAAATTTTACATTTTCTGTACTATGTCATATTACTAACAATGTGTAATGTCTTTAACCCTAGGACTGCCTTGCGCCGTTTAGGCTAAACAATGTTCTGATGTGTGCGCTCGGTGCCCAAACGCCTTTAATGGGATTTTTTTTCAAACGCTTATTACTCAATGAAAATGATCCAGAAGAGTAATAATTTTGATACCGTTGAAAAGAGGAGATTCTGAACTTTTATTTTCATATAAAAACGTACCTCGTAGCAATAACACATCCAATATAACTGCTATTATAATTTGAACAATATTTTGCGCGAAAACATTTTCGAGCCGCGATCAACAAAATCCTGTACAGTAGGACCTCAATATCTCAAATCTGAAGGGGTTATGATAAAAATTCGAGTTATCAAGTTTTTCAAGTTAGTGAGGTTCGAGTTATGAAAGTTCCATTTGAAAAAGTTCGAGATACTGAGGTGTTGGGGTCTGACAGTGATGTTACGTCACGGCCTTTATAACTCGACTTATACGTGTTAAACCTTTATAATCTAACTCTAAGGTACATTCATGCCAACTTTGACTTATAAAGGTAAACTTCGAGTTACTGAGGCTCGATAGTGGGAAAATTTGAGTTATAGAGGTAGAATGTTACTGTTCAAAAGTTGTTGAAATTCGACTTATTGAGGTTAAATATTTAGAAACTTCGACTTATAAAGGTACTTTTAACATTATGATTAATGTGGATTTCAAGGGGATCTAAACAAAATTGAGATATTGAGGAATTCGAGATATTGAGGTTCGAGTAATTGAGGTTCTACTGTAGTACACGTTTTCTTGAAAAAATCTTCAAGTCTTAATTTTGGCCTAAACAGGAAGTGGTTGGCACCATTGGAAAGAACTTGAGTTGTTCTTTATTTTCGTATAGAGAACTTTGTCATACAATGTTATGAAGTTTGAAAAATATTTTTTTGAAAACAAACAGCTGTTTTGTCAGTTGGCCATTTTGCCCAGGTTTCTAAATCACTAATGAGAGTCAACTTACTTGTAGCAAAAAAAAACGTTCTATCTCTATGCAGTCCCGCTTTTGTAAACGGGCAGACTGGGCATATGCCCAGGGGCGCCGGTGGTTTAGGGGCGCCTGCTTGGTGTCCCCAAACCACTGCCCACCAGCACTAGGAAAAAAAAGGGGGGCGCTGCTCTTGGGTTTGCCCAGGGCCTCCACTGACCCTTAACGCGGCCCTGTCTCTATGTTTTGATGCCTTTCATTATTGAGATTCAGGTGACACATTAGTTAGTTGTAACTGGAAAAACAAGTTGTTTGCGTTCTGCTCCCCGGAATCTAAGTAAGGTTTACAGTACGGCTACATTATTATCTGTGCTAATTTTCATCAGAGGTTAGTGTTTTAGTGTAAAAGAAGTGTATTGTTAGGTGATGTATGAGTTACTAGTAGTATTTATCTATCCATATTACGCTGGATAAGTATTATTATTTATGTCCAAATTTGTGTTATTGAAATAGTGGTTGTTTAGAGGTTATGCCTATAACCTAGGCCTAAATCATAACCCAGCCTACAATGGTATGTGTGTCTCATGCCAGAATAATGCTTCTGGAACCTTTGTTTGTTTATATTACTGCATATGTATATCTTCGTGTTCATAAATAAATATATTTCCTGTAAATACATGTAGTTTTTATCATATTATAGTAAAGTACAAAAATTAGATCTAACTTTGAATAACAAAATTTTGTTTTTCAAGTCAAAGCTATTCTTGAATTATTCTCCCAAGTTGATGTGTTTAGGGATAATCTAAGTAAAACTATGAGGAAAAACGAATTTAAACTATAAAATAAAATAACCAAATGTATTTCTCATTAATGTTTTCATGACAAGGAACAATATTGGACAACAAAACAGACAGCTGATCATAAACATAAACATTCACATCATCTGTAGTATGACTATTACAAATAACAAAAGGCAGGCATTTTCAACACTTTCCCTTATTTGCATATCATGCCGAGAGTACAAGATTTTCTTGCAGGACTGAGTCTTGGTTGAGGTATAGGGTTAGTTTCATCGTCAACAAGAGTAACTTCGGCAAAGTTTGACGAGACTTAATCGTTTAGCCACTCGAGTTGCCTTCTTTCCCGAGTCGAGTGCCGGGTTGCAGGATCGTTGGATAACTCTGCATCTTCACTATCACCGCTACTTGACGTGTCCTCAGTTAGTATAGGCTCATCATCACCCTTCACTGGAAAACTAGGCTCGTCAATAGCTTCATCAACTTCTTGCCAATCTTCTTTGATGTCATTGGCGTGAAAAAAGGACGTCACGAGAGAATACGATATCTCTTCTCTCTGGAACATAGATTCGATATCGTTCTTCGCCATCGTATCCAACCACAGCTTTCCTGTCCATTTTTCGACTCCTCTGAACAGGAACATGGACGTAGCACTTTGAGCTGACCACTCGCAGATGTTTGATCCTCGGCTTTTGACCAAACCAGAGCTCAAAAGGTGATTTGTTGGCAACTGCTGACTTTCCCACTCGATTTAAAACGTAGCCAGCAGTGATGACAAGCTCAGCCCAGATCACTGCAGGAAATGTCACATTTGGATTGGTATACTTGAAGGTACGGGCCATTTCGACGATCGTTCTGTTCTCTCTCTCTACAGCACCATTTTGCTCGGATGAATACAGCGCTGTCAGACGTTTGTTAACACCGTATTCTCTGAGAATTTGATGAACTTCAGCGTTGTCAAACTCACCACCGTTGTCGCTAAGAAACTCTTTGACGTTATGACCAATTGTGCATGCTTTACACAACACTTCACGCAACGCTTCCTTCACAGCAGATTTTTCCCTTGCGACAAAACAGTATCGGTACCTTGAAAAGTGGTCTTTTATGACGATCAAGTATCGGCGACCTCCGAAGGATGGGTCAAACAGGCCACAAACATCACCGGATAACAACTCACCGGGGGCTGAGGGGTGTTCTCGTGTTCCAAATAGTAGACGGTGTGCCTTTCCAAACTCACAGATCTCGTAGTTGGCTGGCACTTTGATACCCATTTCGGATTCGAGCTTCGATCGGAAGTAGCGTTTAACCATGTGACCCCAGCGCTCATGATATAACTGCAGAATGCGATTGTCTTCTACTGCATTAGCGCAAACCTCAGATGGTTGAACTGTGTGAAATGAGGCACTATACAAAGTTCCACCACAGTTTCGAGTGCCTTTGAATACAGTTTGTTCGTTAATAGTGAACCGACACTCGGTATTATTCGATTCAAACCTGCTATTAGGGTTTCGATCATGAGCTGCGAGAATGGACACTAAGTTCCGAGAAACACCAGGAACATACCAGACATCGTTGAGTGTGAACGTTTCCAGTTTTCCATTTTCATAGTTCGCTACTTCAACGACTCCACTGCCAAGAGCTTTTATAACTTCCTTTCCCGCAGCCTTTACTGTTGCGTTCGAGTTTGCAGGAAAAGGTTTGTACTCCGTGAACCAACTCAGATTTGACGTAATATGCTGCGTAGCGCCATTGTCGATCCACCACTGGTCGTTCGTGGTCACGATATGCATGTCACTGCTGATGCAAATCAGCGCACTTCGGTTGTCGGTCTTGTTAACTTGCGAGCCCTTAGTTCTCTTCTTATCAGTGTCACTCATTTTTGAACTAGTGCTAATGCCGTTAGCTCGAGCTGGATACGCAGGCTTGCCGTCAGCTTTCCATTTAGAACACTGACAAATCCATTGACCTTTCCCCGAACAGTATTTGCACAAAGTGTCACCTTTTGGTTTCCTATTCTTCTGACCACCGCTGTTTGTGGCACTAAGAATGTCACCAGCTTTTGACGTAGGAGCAACATTACGCTCATGAAGGATCAATGCAGATGAAACATCTTCAAGTTTCTTGCTCTCGTTTGCCTTCATAAGTAAGTAGCTAGACTTGAACCATTCAAAACGCTTCGGCAAAATGTGTAACACTTTTGACACAAACAGGAGCTCAAGAAAATCTTCGACTGTTTGGATGTTACACGTTTTGAGGCCAGCTGCAAATTCGCGGTTTTCATTCTTCAATCTTGAAAGCACGGTTGGGGCATCCTCGGTATCATCCCATTCCATACTGAAGAAATCCAAACACTGACGAAACAACTGATCTTCTGCCTTGTTATCGAACTGCTCGATCAAAATGTCCCACGCTTCCTTACTTGACAATCTTCCGGAAATACGTTGATGTAAATCATCACTAACGCACTGAGAAATAACTATTTTTGCGTGAGTCGTGGATTTGTTGAATTTCTGAAGTTCTTCCTTTTCGGCTTTAATCGGAGGCTCAGAGACTCAAACATAAACATTCACATCATCTGTAGTATGACTATTACAAATAACAAAAGGCAGGCATTTTCAACAGTTATAACTTTGTACAATATGACATTATTCTGAATAAAAATGTATTGCTGTTACCTACCTTTAATAATATAACAACTTTTGTAATGTATCGTTACAAAAACTTTTGTAATGTATCGTTAATGTATCGTTGTTAACTTTTTAATATAAATTTTATACTTCTGTTTCTGATTATATTTTTATGTTTCAAATGTTCAGCCCAAATTTGTTGATTTTTCCCAATGTAATCCTGGTAAAAAAACTATTTGAACCAAAACAATAACATTTCCAAGTAAGGAAATAAATTGCTTACATTTCATAACCTATCTTAGATTAACTGTAAAATTTTGGTGTAAAAATGTTAGGCCTCTGCTTTTGAAAAAATTCCAAAAGATTGCATTTTTTTACATAAAAAAAAACACAAACAGGGATTCCTAATATTTATTTTATTCAAAATCTCCTTTTTTGAACAAAACAAGTATGAATGTGACTAGGTTATCAACAGTACTTTAGGCACTGCAAACTAAAAAAAAACCTCTGCAAAATGGCCAAAGTTGCCAGGGCATTTTTCCATTAATCAAGCCAGGGCAGTCCTAGGGTTATAAAATAGCCAGCTCGTTTCTTTTTGCAAGTGTGGTGTTCCATGTTAAAGATAAACCTTGCAAATCTTTAGTCATCAATGTTTCACCATATTTTCTAAACTATCGATGATGATCATGAATGACGGTAGACTTTTGTTTCAGGTGAAAAGCCTGCTTCCAAGGAAGTTCATCAACAATCACAGGTATTTGTATTTTAATTAGGTTCTTGCTGGCCATACTAAAGCCTAACTTTTAAAATAGTAATTTAAAAATATAGACTGTGCGTAGAATGTATCAAGTAAAGCAAGAGATATTGTCAATAAATTACTAGGACAGATTCTTCTGATAAGTTTTAGATTTGGCTCTGGGACGCAAACTCTTGACATCATTGCCGTGGATTTACTGTCCGTCCATCACCTAACCGACTCTCCTGGGATTTAATGTTCAAATATGTCTTTGATAGTGTTCATTTCATATTAAGAACTATAAACATTGTTCATGTTAATAACACAGTGGACTTGGTGTGATGATTTAAAGAAAGGATTTTAGTACAGACATGTTAAAATTTACCAGCTAACTTTTGATCAACTATTCAGCATCTCTATTGATATTGGTGCGGACTCAATATTAATCCATGTTATGTCAACCAATGTCCAATTTATTATAAATGTAGAATGGGAGAGCAAAAACAAAACCAAACCAACAACTCTTAAGTGACTGAAAATTGTAGTGGCTTTTAAAGTGATGAAATTCAGAACTTATTTGTAATTTTTTCATTAGAGGAGTCTTTTACCTGATTATTGGCTAATGGTCTAAGATGTTACGTGGCCAAGATAGTGTTCAGTGTATTAGCATTATTTGTCTTCATCCTCCTTTACTTTGAGGTCTCATTCTTCTAAAATATGGTCAATAAGTCAGTTAACCTCACATCAGTCAGAAGAGACCCAACCCGCTCATGTCACGTAACACGGTCGCTGCTGAAAATCTTTAAACAGGCACTCGCAAACTGCGGCTGAGCCCTGGCGTGCTACTGAATCAGCTATCGCAATCGGCATTCCAATCACAAAAGAGCAGTGGTGGTTGTTCTGCGTTACGACGAAAGTGGTTGTAGTTCACTGAAACACCCGACAGTAGCAGAACTGCCTGGATCAATAACCAGTGTCTTTATAATATGGCTCCAAAAAGAGAAAATCCCCGAAACCAGGACAAAAGCATTGCCAAACGGGATTTTACGGAATGTTTAATACCAACATACAACAAAATAAAACTCGTATTCTAAGCTACAGCCTGGCAACATATAACATCGTCCCCGGCCGAGTGCTGGGCTCAGACAGACGCAATATTTGGCAGGGGAGCACACTACTGCTATAGCAGTAGGCCGCAGTGAACGTGTTAAGGTTGTATTTACTATCCTTTCACTGAGTGTTATGTGGCAGACAATGGCAAAATGCCCAGCCAACTTCAAAAAAAATTACCTTTAAGTCTTACTTAACTATTCCTGAACAATTTCCTCTTTTTTATCATCATGTTTTATGTTTTGTGATTGCAGAAAGTGGAAGATGCAGACGATGTTTTCATGCAAGAGCTAAGCAAGCTCATATCAGACAGCGTAAGGGAAGGGGATACAAAGGTCAAACCTAATGCAGACATTGCAGTACCTCTTAATTACAGACGAGCATTGGAAGGTATGATGGTTTCTATTCAATGTACATCAATATCAATGTTAAGGATAAAGATCACTTGCAGTCTAGCCATCTCATTGTATCTTTATCTCAAAAACCACAATGTAGTAATTTAGAGGAGCCTAACTTTCATTTCAAGAATAGATCAACACATTTTTTTATCAATAGACGATGCTTGAATTGAGCTTATTTCATGAAGATTTGTAATGAGAATGTAGCTTAGTGTAAAACAATCCAATCTCATATTAGTTCTCATAAAATATTTTTCATCTACTGTATATTGTTTGTAGAGCTTTAGGTAGCAGAGTCATCCACCAGAAATTTTGAATCTCAAAACCAAAACCAAAACTTTAAAAAACCGAACCCCGAATCTCAAAACCTAAAAACAAAACATTTTTACTTAGCTGGTTACAAAGGCCAACGTTACAAAAAGTACAGGTAAAAATAAATTGTTAGGTATGCAATAAAAACTGAAAGAGATCGACTCCTGACACTGACATAACATAAATATGGGTCTGATAATCTTAAACCTGAATACAACATATTTTTTTTATAATCAACCAACATTAAAATAAATTATACCCTTAACACCAACATGAACATGAATATAAGGTTAATTGGAACATTTAGTAGTAAATATTTCTTTATGTTATGAAATATTGATAATGAAACTGAATCGTATGTCGTTCGAGTTAGTCTATAGTATGTTTACTCTATTGCTACGAGCTTGTGTGTAAACAGTGTTATTAACAATAATAATGACACAAAAAATGTCAGGAGTTTCAAAAAAGTTTAAAAATCTTCAATTTCTAAACTTTTGAATCTTGAAACTCGGTGATCGAATCTGAAAACAAAACCGAACCTTTTCCAAAGTTTTGATGGTTTTGAGATTTGAGATCCGGTATTAAGACATCACTAATGGGTAACATTAAGTTATGTTGTCATGCTGAATTAGAAAAGTTACATTCAGGTCATAGTTGAGTAATAAAAATATGACTGTTAGACAAAATTCTCAAATTCTTCTCAAGTTTACAAACTTGTACAAGTTGCTAAATCAGAGATATTCATGTCCAAACTGTAGTCTAATATTTAATTTTTTAGTTTTTGATAAGGTAATAGTATATTACGTTACTAGTCCTGAAAATAAGTGTTTACTGGACGAGTGTGGTTGTTCCCGTGCGAGACGAAGTCGAGTACGGGATTACCATACGAGTCCGGTAAACACATTTTGGACGAGTTACGTACGATAGTTTACGCCATACTACTAAATCTCTACAAATCCTTATATATTACCACCAAGGACCAACTAAAGGACTAAAAATCACTAGTCATAACCTCTAAGCGAGGTTCTGTTTTTGTCTACAACCAAACCACTCATTGCCACCCAAATACAGTAGGCCTATAATCAGCTGATTGGTGTCCGGTAAAACTCATTGCATAACAGTAGTACGCAATGAAACCCCATTTGATTAAGCTGGCGGCAAACAGCTGTTTTCTGGACTAAATACTTGCGTGGGAAGTTTGTTAAAACAGTGTAGTATGGCGTAAAGTATATTTGTAGACTACCTACAACCAACTAGGCCTACAATATTGGAAACTCTAATTTTATATTTCACCCTTGAACTGTAATACTCAGAGGATATAGACATAATAGTGTTGAGTGTTTTGGGTACAAAATTTTAATGGTGAAAAATAACATTATTGATCACAAAATTATTGGAAATAAATAACTAATTAAAGGATCATATCAAACTGTTTTCCATAGTAATAATTTTGTATTATGATGATAAAAAAAAATAGTTTCATAGAACAAGTAGTAAACCTGTTTTGTTAGTCTAGATAATTTTAATGGTAACCTTTCTTTGTAGACGAAAAATCCCAATTTGTTCTTCTTTACAAGAAAGGGAACAAGCAAACTTTCAAGACATTGACTTTGCCATCAGACCACGAACTTCTAGTTAACCTCAAGTTCCGTGAAGAGGTAAGTTGCTTGTAAGATTTTATCCTGAGCACCTTAGCTCTCCATACTTAATGCAGATGTAACGTTTTACTGTATACCTAAAGCCATTAGGGTATATATTACAGCCTCAGATAATTGTATTAGTCTGATATTAAAAAATATTAATAACAGTACTTATAACCCTGAATGTAAGCTCTTTACTCTCAAATCATGTGTACATCTAAGTGAATGTTTGGCGGCACGAACAATGCCCCTCAATTTCTCTACCTCTTGCCTCTATCCCATCCAAGTTAAACTACATTCACTAGTTTGGTCCACAATATTAGCTATAACCTTCCTTTCAGTCTCCTTATATTATCTCTTCCTCCTTAATTCTATTCTCTTATATCCTCATCCTATAATATTCACAAACTACATCTGAATCTTTCTAAAACTGTTGACCTTTATGTTCTAATTTTCCTCCACAAGTTAAGCAAGAAGTATAAACTAGGATTGCTTTCATAGCAGTGAAAGCCAGTTGATTGGAGCAATCATGTTTCATGGTTTTTAATCTATATAAATAAAATTAGAGTTTTGTCTGTACATTGCTCAGAATTATATATTTTTAGGTTATTTTTATGTTTTATACATTAAAGAAGCAGATACAAGTCTTACCTCTATTTCTGTCTGTCTGTCTGCCTGTCTTTCTGTAACACTCAAGATCACATTTTACGCAATCTTCTCCATGAAAACGAGAGTACCTATCAAGATCCAAGTCATTTCAATGCATTCACTAGATTTGTGAGAGTGTCTTTAGCCATTAAAATATGGCCTCACTACTTTGTTAATAAAATTACAGACGTTCAAAAATGCAGTTTTGTGCGATTTTTGTCAAATTTTCATTCAATTTTTATCACATAATCATCTATGACATAACAAACAGCTGTTTGGATCAAGATTATTTTTTCTAGCTGTCACTGATATGTTTACAAATACCGCAACCATTTCCAATCTTGTTTTGAAAGTAAATTCCAACCAAGTGAGATTAAAAACGCTTTTCTTACATAACGGATTTAATTAATCACCAGTGCAATATTTGAGTGTAACCGTAAATTAAGTTAAATAACTAGGCATAATCCTGACCAGGAACCAGACTCTTTGTGTATAAAACTGTTCTTGAGTTAAGATAACTAGAAAAAGTCCTTGAATCAGTGTTGTATAGGGCTGGGACACTTAATGATCGTCGCCAATAGCTTACAAACAAGGTTTCCACTCATTGACGGCGCTTCAATGGTGATTGTGTAAAGTGTAAAGTAAAAAAAATCATATCTGCAGTGGGTGATTGTAACAGAGGTTTACGAATGATGCTAAACTCGCTTTCCCAATGTGTCACTTCCTGTTTCTACTCACCGTGTGATGCTATCGCTGGACCATACAGTTAATAGGCCCATAGCCAATAGCCATCTCTTGAATACGTACGCCTACCTATTTATTCATAACAACCTTTTCGACGACGATCCTTGATATCGGTACTTTTCCATAGAATACATGGCCTACCTACTTAAGAAATAAAATTACATATGTCCAAAAACCCAACATTGTGTGATTTATGTAACATTCAACTGACTACAATAAGATCCCCGTGCGTAGATTAGGCACACAGCTAGGGAAGCAATAAATAAAAAAAAGTTAATAGATATAATCCAAAATACAAATTTAAATGTTTCCACACTTTGCACTGATAGCCTTTACTACTTCTTTCTCCACTTCCTACGTAGTGGACCTGTTTCCTTCCCTTCCCATAGCATTTTAGGATTGCTATATTAATCCAACTGCCACAGACGGTTCCCACACTCCGCACTGCCAGCCTTTACTACTACATTCACCACTTCCTATGCGCGTTTTCCTTCCTTCCCATTCTATTTTAGTATTTTAGACGTTAATCTATGTTAATATAACTGCGTTAATCTATGTTTTACGTTAATCTAACTGCACAAAATCATTCCCTCACTCCACACTGCTAGTCTTTACTACTTCCTTCACCAATACTTTTGTCGTGGACCTGTTTCATACCTTCCCATAGCATTTTATAATATTTAAATACATTAATCTAAATGCCCCAAAGCGTTCCGACACTCTGCACTGCTAGCCTTTACTACTTCCTTCACCACTTACAACGTCGTAGACCTGTTTCCCTCCCTTCCCATACCATTTTAATATTTTGGATACATTAATCTAGAACTGTCCCAAAGCGTTCCCACACTCTGCACTGCTAGCCTTTACTACTTCCTTCACCACTTCCTACGTTGTGGGCCTGTTTCCCTTCCTTCCCATAACATTATAGTATTGCAGTTGCATTAATGTAACTGCCACAAATGGTTCCCACACCATGGCAGAATGTGATTCACCTACGAATTGTTTAAGATAAAATGTTATTAATATAACCTTATCATATATATATGGTTTACGACATGATTTACAAATTTTGCTACGTAAATCAAATCTGTTATATACTGTACCAAAGAAAATATGTTTTATCTATGACTGTGCCTTTTCGATCAGTGGTCGTTTCCAAATTGCAACTTAAATGTAAACCTAAGACTTTCTCTGTATTATTTGATCAGTTGTCATCATCCAAATGTTTTTCCTTTGTACTGTGTTTATGTCGTGGCTTGATTTGAACATATGCTATGATTCTTTGTTTTGTTTACATTTACGTCGTTATTTTGTAATCATTATGGCAACTCATGAGGCCAACGTTGAAATTTAAAAACTTTTGAGTTTCTTTAAAATTATATCGGCATTATTAAAAATTGGAATTGGTTACTTCTAAACCATCCAAACATTTGACAAAACCACCTTGATAAGTTTGGCTAAAATATGTTCGGTCGTTATTGAGATTAAGTGTTATAAATATTGCATTGAAATTTATCCCAAAGAGCTTCGCTTCACTCAACTAAATGTTGTTCTTTGTAGTTCTTGTTACATTTTATTTTACTGGGTCGATGTGACTTTCTTATTTTAGCTATACAGTAGAACCCCTCATATCTGAACATGATGGGACCAGTCATGGTCAGAATGGCCAAAAGGTCGGATATTAGGGGGAGCATAACCTGCAGTCACTGTGACATCGGTAATCGTCTCCCTCAATGACGGCAACACCCGTGGGCGTAACTTGCAGTCTCTGCGATTTCGGTAATTATCTCCCACGACTGCGGCAACACCCTTGAGACTTGAGAGTAAATTGTAGTTTCCATGACTTCGGTAATAGCTAGCTGTGTTGTTGTGAGATTTATTTTCTTGGTCTATTGGCCTCTGAACTCATGATTGTATTAAGTAAGCAGCCAAACTCACACTTAAACCATCCACAGATAAAAAACCACCATTGCAGTCAGAAGCATGGTTGATCAAACGGTTATATTCTGTGTTAGGGGGTGTGTTTTTTTGGTAGCCAATGACAATGATGAAATCTGCCTCACTCATTTTATGGCATTAGTTAAAGAAATGTCAGTTCATTAACCTAATCATTTCTGTTTAGGTTTCCAAAAGAGAAAAACAAACAGTGAAGAAGCTTACTTTGGATATAAACGAACGTCTTCAAGATGAAACTTAGTTCAGAAGAACCCAGACTTCCAAACTTATTTATGCGCATAATCCTATATCACCAGTGTGGTGCCTTTGTTTTAATGATGATTCTATTGTTGTCTATTATTTTAGACATGAACTTTGTTGTATTATTGTTATACAAATTTAGATATTACTTATGTTTTATGCTCAATTAACATTCCAAAGAAATTTAGTCACAAGCATAAATTATGTTAGTCTAAAATATGATATTTAGTCTAAATATGTTTTATAGTTTGTTTAGAGAATCGGTTGTGATTTTTTAAAAGTATGTTCCTATTGTCTTAAATACATTTTTGTACTTTGTTTCTGATTGAGTTATTAACCCCTTAACCGACGTCTAAGTAGCCTAGTCAAAATTCGCCATTGCCACTTATTTTTGCCGTTTTTGAAGATTTTTACTTGTCATTTAAAAAATGGTACCAGTTGTTTTTTTTTTTAAAGAAAATAGCTATCAATATTGTTTGTAGACATCTTCAAAAACATTAAGCTTTAACAAAATTTGAGATTGGGGGGGGAGGTGGGGGTTTCTTGAGTTATAATAAAAATTAGGCCTACAATAAAGTCTACAACTCTAATAAATCGTCATCCTCAAGCATGTCACCAGCCATTACGACTAATATTTACTACTCATTCAACACTACCAAGTAAAAATAACCACCAAAAACCACAATTATAATGACACGCACAGTAAACGTAAGCTTCCGCAAGCACGAGTTTTACTGAAACTACGAACGGAACTGATCGGGACCATTACTGACCTAATACCACTAAAATCCACCAGATTGCAGCACTAGTCAAGCAGCACTGTCAGCAACTTGTTTACATACGTATATCAGAGATAAGGCAGGAAGTGAACTGTTAAAAATCAAACACAACAGCTGATTACGTCAACACGAGATAATTTGTACGTGGCGGTTGCTCTGAAAACTAGTATCGCCCGGCATATCTCGTGCGTGGCGGTTAAGGGGTTAAGCCAATGCCTGATATTTTGGTTGTGCCACAAGTGTTATTCATCATATCAATTTTTCAAATTCGGTATGATGCCATTTCAAAGTTATTTTGTTGTGCCGAAATCTCTTGTTATCAAGCGATAGTGTGATCTACAATCTGTTATGGAGTACAGACTTGGGGCGTGAAATACAGTAGAACTCCAATTATCCGAACTCCAATTAACCGAAACTCCAATTATCCGAATCACTTATTTCAACAATTTTAAAAACGTAAAGCTACAGTAATAAGTTTTGCAAAATATCAAAGAATTGTTATTAAACACATTTAGCCAATTTTGGACTTTGATGGAACACTATTGACTTATTAACATGTATAGAACACTTGTACTATGAGCATTGTAAACTGTAAAAATGTTCTGATTTAAATTATTATTAATTAAAAGTTCACTTAGTAGCCTACCGAAAATGAGAATTTTTCTTTAAAATTCCCGGAATTCCGGTAAAACTCCGATTATCCAAATTTTTGATTATCCGAATGGGGTCTGGTCCCTATTGATTCGGATAATCGGAGTTCTACTGTAATAGAATCAGTAGGTACAAACTGCAAAAAAAATTATTTGCAACCGCCACTCTGAAATTGGCATCAACATCACTTCCGACAATGTCCTTGCTCAGCACCTGGAACTGTGTCAGGCAGTTTGGAGAATATACTTCAAAGGCTAAGCTAAAGTCACAAAAGTTGGGGTCTTTACTTAAGTTTTCTTTTGCATGGTTTGTTTCCCTATCATTATATTTATCTAGCATGCATTTATTATTTATGTTTTATTGAGAGTGACATGCATGAAAATAAGAATGGATGAAAATACAAAGGAAAACCCTAATGGCGTAGCCCGAAGTAATGTGCTCAGCAGTTCTCGAGATGAGGGGGTTTTCAGCCAGTAGTCCAGGGACATTGATCCTGTAGGAGTCCAGCACGACTGAGGGGACATTGAGCATCTCAGTGTGTTACACATTAAACACACTCACTCCCGTGTAGAGAGATGCCATACATACAGAGGAGTGTGACGGCTGGGACTGAACCTGTTAAACAGCTCCTCCTCACAAAAAATAAAAAAATCTAAAATGTTTTACAGTCAAATTCCTTTACTTGAGATTATAGAAAACTTTGGTTAGTTCAATGGGTTTTCAAACAAGTGGAAACGTCATTTAAGAGCTGCATTGTTTATTTTTTATGCACACTTAATGTAGAAAGTACCAGATAACATTTTATATACTTTGTACAAATCACAGAGGTTTTTTTACATATAATATACAGAATATTACATGATAGAATCAAAATATCTTAAACCAAAAATAACAATGACACTTTAAAATTGTTTTAAGTTTTACAAACTTGGCTGAGGCCAATTTTAAATAGCTAATATTAATACTTTTATATAGTTCATGGAACTTTTTTACACAACTGTTTAAAGTACCCTACTACTGAGGATAGGATTTAAATTTTGTTGAATTTCCTCCTTAACAAGTTAACATCAAACACCATTGCTACCACTTAACAAGCAAAACTCGTTATTCTTAAAATTTGTTTTTCTGATCAAATTATAAAAAAAAAAATTATTCATTACTAAAATTTAAATTATAGGCTAGTTTGAATTCATAGGTTTTTGAATCTCCAGTACGTAACTTAACACCTAATTTACCGTAAGTGATAACTTTGAATATGTTTTAGATGAAAACAATACACATAAATGTAAAACAAAATAAAAAATGAAAACTATAAATAAAAAATCTTTCATACTTGCAAAATGCTTTCTAAAAATTACTTTGCCTTAGTATTTATTACATACATTTTTCATAACATTCCTACATACATAACTAAAAGAGATGAGTGATGAAAATAAATTACAGATCTACAAGAGTATGAAAAGAAAGCTTTTTGTCCAATATCACAAGGTCAGAACTTAAAGGGGCCTCCTCACAAAGTTTAATCTGGTATTAAAATATATACATGTCTTTCGGTCACTTGTCACTCAGTCAGTTTAAAAGAAACTCTTGTTGGTGGTCACGGTCACCTATCTAGTGATCTCTTGTTGCAACTCGAGCCTCCAGAACGCTGTCCGAGTTCCACTGTTTGTTGCTGAGCTCGGTAGATCGGCTCAAACTCAGCCAACTGTGCCATGAAGCCTTCGTTGGGATTTATACAGAACCTGTTCTGCTGAACAAGCGTGAAAGCATCCCTGTAATGCAAAGAGATGTATTAACACCAAGACATTTAAAAAAAAAAACGATTCTTTAGGTAACAAAATAAAGGAAGGTTACTAAAATATAATAATTATCCTTCCTTTGAATTGAATTAGTGTAATAAAAGGATATCAGCTACCAGTATTTCCAGTGGCACTGAGATCAATGTAAAGGCCTCAGCTCCAACTCGGAAGGCCTATTAGCCTATATACCCTCTACAAAACCCCTGGAGATGTATTTCTTGGTCGTTTATGGTTTTCTCAAAAGTATGTGATCCTTGTTAGTTGTTAGCTTTATTATAGATAAAAAATAATAAGATAAAAGTTGTAACAAGTGAGGAAGTTTGCTCACTGATCAGATGACGAAAAAGCACTTTTGTATGCTAGTTAACGATCTCGCCACAGGCATAGCGCTAGTGCAGTGGTTTAAGCAATACTCAGGCCACAGCCACTTCAATCACACAGCACGCTATAGTCAGTGCAGTGAACTAGTGGACAGTGACTCAGTCAGCAGACTGGCTTAGAACACCATAGTACAGTACACTTGAACACTGACGGAAGTAAAAAATAAGTCGTTTTTAAAAGACAAATTTAAACAATTTTGAATTTTGACAAAATTTTAAAAACCATAACTCCAAAATCAAATACATTTTCAGTCTGAAAGGTACCAAATTTTATGGGGATATAAACGTACTGGTATAAACGTACTGCTATCAACCAAACACCAGGACTTACCAGTTTTCATCCACAATAGCCTACTCTAGGGCCTATGTGCTGGCCATAGCTTGGGCTATAAGCCAAAGAAGGTAGGCCTAGTTTAAAACTCAATAAAGTACAAACACACACCTACACAACACATTTTCTTATGATAACACTTCAAATCAGCATATAAAATCAAACCGACCGAAATTAAAAATATTTAACGCCGACAATAGCATAACGTAACCTCAAGACTAGTGCTCGTTTTGACAGACAAAAACTAGATCGGGTCAACGGGTGAACTTCCGCTAGCTGTGGACTAGTTTGTTACCTCTCCACCAGAGCACATAGGTCTTGACTGAGCTAAAATCACAATGTAAATTTTGAAGCTCGTTTTTCGTGTCTAGTTAATGTACTAGTTAATGACACTGGGCGCTAGTGTCAATGAAATTTAGTTTCTATTATTTTAGGGTTCATTTCTTGATTTGTTCTTTACTGTTTATTTATAAAACTAGGGGACGAGTTATTGTTTCTGATAAGATTGTATTATTTGGCTAAACAAGGCTTTCAATTACTAAAATAGCAAGAAACAAATTGTAAACAAAACACGACCTCTAGTTTAAAATGCCAAAGTCCTTAAAACATTGCCCAATAGTTCAAAATGTAATACGAATAGTTTTATCAAATTGGCTAGAATAGAATACTCCTCTGCCACACTTTAACGAAGGCGCGAAAGCTCCACTTGAGCGTCTACAGGATTTCCTGAGCGCTTCTAAAGCTCTGGGCCTTCAATTAATTTAAAATAATTAATCAGTCAAAATCGTGAACAGCTTCGTATCGACCCCTGGATTTTTATCAGCTCATTCTTCGCACTCCAGGGAAGAAATTTGAGTGTGGCAGATTCTAAGGGTATGCCTAGCCTGATTTTTGAATACAAGTTTACTCCCCCCCCCCTCCCCCTAGAATTTTACGTCACAAGTCAAAACTTTTATTAATTCAGATCTGGGTTAAAGAAATTATATTATCGGTCTTAGAATGTACCGGAGATAAGCTCCTGCTGGCATTAAACCCTGAACGTAAATAGTAGGCTACTTCAAATTTGACTTTCAGGTTGGAGCATAGGTTCAGTAGGTAGGCCTATAGATTGTCTTTTTTTACGTAGAATTGTGCTTGCATACATAGTTGCACGAAAAGTGTTGATGGAAGTTTGTTTCTCTCACTTTTGTGTTTGACATAGCTTGATTAGGAGCTGAAAATCGAAAAAGGAGCTAAAAAGAGAAAAAAAAGTTTCAGGGAAGAGAAGTCCATAACCATAAGTTGTAAGCCAACCTATTAGGACTACACTGAGTAGTCTATCATATGTACTTACTTGATATTTAGGCTGTATTTTTGCATGATGTAGGCTATGGCCAAGGCTGCACTTCTGGAAATTCCTCCATTTCCATGAATCAATACCTTTCCACCACTGGCTAAACTTTGGTCAATAAAACTTTTGACTGTCTTGAAGTAGCGAATTATATTCTCTGTTACACAGTCCGCTATATTTAGAGTCAAATATCTACAAACAAATTGAAAAATATTAAATGGGTTAAAAATGCAAGTGTTATGCTGTTGCTTAAAATTTAAGATAAGTAAGGTAATGCCAATTTCAACATTATTATCTTGTCATAAGTCTTGTCAATCTTAAAGAATGGCTTAATGCATGCATGTGAAAAAAATGTTAACATAGAATATATCTATTACTTATACAATGTTTTTTCATATCATTTCAAACAATCTTGATTCACTTAGCACATATTTACAGTACATTGAACAGTGTCGATAAGTGATTCATATTAAAACTGTTTTCTAACTTATTTCTACTATTTTTTTACCATAAAAAGAAGGTTATTTATACTATTACTAGGGATGTTATTTTTTATACTATTACTAGGGATGTTATTTAGCGCGGTGTTCCATGAGATTTAACCTTAGGACGTAAAGGAGGTATGAAGGTTCCTCTGCTTATTTCAGATTACAATTTCTCGAACTTGGGCCCTTTAAATGAAATATAAAGTCACAAGATGATTAAATTAATTTAATGGTGGCTTCTGTACACCCGTGAATTTGCGGGTAGAACCTCTTGTGTGTATATATAAATAGCCGTGCGTGATCGTTAGGTACTTGCGCTGGTAATAAATTGTATCTTGTATTGTATAACATCAGCACCGCAAATCTACCTAGACCAAATACTAACTGTCCAGAAGAAGTCTATAAGAGCAATTAATGATCTGCAGGATGAAGAACACTGCAAACCATACTTTATCAACAATAAAATTTTAACAGTCATATCCATCTATATCTACGAAACCATCATCCATTCCCTAACATCAAAAAGCAATAGAAGAGAAGACATACATGACCACAACACAAGAAGAAAACAACAATTTGACTTGCCATACAATAGACTTAAAAAATCTCAAAACCATCCAAACTACATAGGACTAAAATTTTTCAACCACCTCCCAGATCAATTAAAAAATATTCAAAATACAAACGGCTTTAAAAATAAACTTAAAGACTTCTTCTCAACAAGACCCTACTACAAGATAAAAGAATTCTTTGAAGCTATTAATGCCTAAAGATGAAGAATAAACCCGGACGAGCCCCCTTTCTTAAGGACAGCGGAGGCGAACACCCACAAGTAACAAGTAACAAATCTTAAGCTACGTTAAATGCTGTTTTGTGCTGTTTTTGCTAAATAGCCTATATGTAAATATAATCTTGTCAATTTATTGGAACTATTTTTTCCACTAAGGCTAGGCTACTTAAATGGGAGTTTTTTTAATTATATAAAACATAAGAAGAAGCTGAAAAAAGGTATTATATTAAAAACTATTTGAATCTAAAAACACATTGCCTGTTATGCAGCCACAGTTACTGTAGTTAATTTACATGTTCTGGCAACCAGATTGGATGCACAAATAGGCTACTAACCCTTGCCGAGGCTTAAACTCAATTTAGAGACTGATTGTAAGTTGCCCCTGTGTGCTCCCTGGTGTGGATTAACGTCCGCACTAGTGAGTACTAGGCATCCGCAGTACTATCCCGATAACTAGACCACTTCGTAAATTACAAGGAAAAAATGTGGTTTGGATTCCACTATTTTAAACTGTAGGCCCCTTAGTTGCCATTAGCTGTATGGGCTATTAATTAACAGTTGGGCCGAAGGAACGTGTCGGCCTTAGTCACTAACAAGTCTACAAGATAGCGAGCACCCCTCATCCTACACTCATCCTTCACTCATATTTGGGTTAAAATACGCACATGGCGTCCCGAATTTTAAATAATTGATTGATTGATAGCCTACTTACTGAAAATGACCAGGGAAATTAGGCTTGATGAAGTGTGCTTCAATGTCTTGTCGTACACAAATAATGTGTGTGATTCCATTTTCTTTTAAATCGTTCAGTTTAGTTTTCTGAGCAGCAGAATAAGGTCCTAGAAACAGTCCCGGTACAACTTCTTGCATGCTTCTCCTCATTGTGTAGGTCCAGTCAGTCCAACCACATGCAAATTTTAAGTTCTGAAGAGTATCATTGTTGACTTCTTCATTGTGGCCCATCATTGGCTGAAAATAAATATTAAAACTTAAGAGGCCTACTGTGAAAAGAAACTCAGGCAAGTTTGCTACAATTATGTAGCTGTAGGCCTAAACTTACTAATGGCTCACCAGTCGAGTTACATCAATTCAAATTGTACCTATTTCAATTAGCCCAGCAGTAACGGTAAGTGCAAACCAAGTCTCTGACTAATATTTCAGACACAATTACAGTCGACCCCCTCTTAACTGACCCTAACGGGTCTGAACCAAGGTCGGATAACACAAAAGGTCATTTCAAATGGGCAATCCCAAAAATAAAAAAAAATATTTAGGCTACCGAATAAATATTTTGAAGTTGTCCGTGCATTATTTACAAAATAAATTAGGCTACACTCAGTTCATCTTTTTTCTTAAGTACAGCAGACTCCCTCTTATCCGGACTTCTTGGGACCGAGGTCAGTCTGGATAACGGTTTTTCCGGCTAAACCGACGTCCCCGAAATCTTGTTAAAACGGACCGTTCAACTAACTTACTCTATGCAGTGTTTAACTTGTAAGTTTAATCTGGTCTTAAATCTTTCCCACGAGAACATTCGTTTCAGTACCTCCCACTTCCTGCCGATCTAGTCTGGTCAAACCGATGTCCGGTTAAAAGGTATCCGGATAAGAGGGAGTCTACTCTACCTAGGCCTAATGACGATTGAAGAGTCACAAATAAATGCAAAACAGGATTAAGTCCACTTTCAGTGGAAAAGTTCAAAGTCCACTTAAGTCAGTACCACTTTCAGCGGAATAAACAGACAAAGAGTCAATAAAAATTCTTACTAAGTTAGCTTACCTTTAGGAATAAGTTTACTTAGGCCTATGCTTTCCAAATCTATTGTAAGTTTAATACAGTATACAACAGAAGTAGGGTAAGTAATTTTTTAACTTTAAGATACACCAACCATTTCATTAAGTACGGTAACTTTATAGCCTAGTCTACATGGCAGGCGGATTATTTATAGCCTGGCCTTCTAATAAATAGTTTAGCTTATTCTTGTGTAGGCCTAACTTAAACCTCGAAATCCTGTAGAGTTAGCGTAAGTTAAGTAGGCCTAAAGCTAAGTTATTACTCCCATCGCCGAGCGGGAAAGCGGAAATGTTGAGATTCATAGAAAGTAGCGGTTAAACCGAACCGCTAAGCTTAAGTTTACAATATAGGCCTAAGTTATTACAAGCAAGGGCAGAATAATCCGATCAACTTATCGGTTAATGCGAGGTCGGTTAAGAAAGGATCTTAGATTTTAGGCTACAGGATAAGGTACCGTACACATTGATTTTAATTTTTCATCACTGAAGAGTTCTTACTCCTCAATCATTTGTAGATAGGCCTAGGCCTAAGGCATCTTATAGGCCTAGGGTTAAACTTATTTGCATTTTTTAGAACATTAAGATAGAGACACATAACAATATGAGATAAGGTAGGCCTATTCTTTATGAAAGATATTTAGAAACACACAATAATTTTCAGGTAGCCTAACAACTTCGGAACTTTCTATGAATTAAGGCCAAAACGGACAATCATTGAGTAAGTAAAGTACCATTGTAGTAGGCAATGGCCTACCACCTAACTTACCTCGTCGGATAGCATGCTTTTGTAGTTGTAATATGGATAAGATATCATGGTGTTCTTTTGTTAAATAAGTTCAAATACAACGCTTTAAATTCCAAGCTCACGTGGAACTAACAATTTCTTCTACATAAGTTACATTTTATATATCAAGATACAGCCAACTAAAATACAATCACAACACAACAGAAAACAGACAACGACAACACAGAAAAGAAAAACCGTCGTGAAGTTAGCGGCTCTTTTCATCGGCGCTTTTTCGGTTTGTAATAGATGTGGGTTGGTACTCCTGCGGACGCCACAAACGTGTTTTGCAGGGATGTCGGAAACACAATTCAATGACAATACGGTGCGAAATGATGTTTTTATATTTATATAATGTCAATTATACATTGATAAAACGTGTATACAAGTTAAAACTAATTAATTGACGTATTTTAAAAGGCATATTTAAGACCGTACTGTACATTATACGTAGCTATGGCTTAACATAACGCGATCAATTAAAACTCCGAACATAAAAAGTGCATAATCTTTTTTCCCAAGCCCATCACATCAACTTTGAGCTATTCTAATGGTAATATACAATGTGTAGAATACTCAGTATAAATATGATTGAGGCAGTCCAGTGAATTACGAAGCTATAAGGCAAAATGTATATGGTTGATAGTAACTCGTATCAGGAAAAAGTGCACAATCTTTTTCCTAAGCCCATCACATCAACTTTGATGTATTCTAATGGTAATATACAATGTGTAGAATACTCAGTATAAATATGATTGAGGCAGTCCAGTGAATTACGAAGCTATAAGGCAAAATCTATATGGTTGATAGGAATTTGCGTCAGGAAAAGTGCACAATCTTTTTCCTAAGCCCATCACATCAACTTTGAGGTATTATAATGGTAATATACAATGTGTAGAACACTCAGTATAAATATGATTGAGGCAGTCCAGTAAATTACGAAGTTATATGGCAAAATCTATATGGTTGATAGGAATTTGCGTCAGGAAAAGTGCACAATCTTTTTCCTAAGCCCATCACATCAACTTTGAGGTATTATAATGGTAATACACAATGTGTAGAACACTCAGTATAAATATGATTGAGGCAGTCCAGTAAATTACAAAGTTATATAGCAAAATGTATATGGTTGATAAGAACTCGCATCAGGAAAAGTGCACAATCTTTTTCCTAAGCCCATCACATCAACTTTGAGGTATTATAATGGTAATATACAATGTGTAGAACACTCAGTATAAATATGATTGAGGCAGTCCAGTAAATTACGAAGTTATATAGCAAAATGTATATGGTTGATAGGAACTCGCATCAGGAAAAGTGCACAATCTTTTTCCTAAGCCCATCACATCAACTTTGAGGTATTCTAATGCTAATATACAATGTCTAGAATAATCAGTATGAGTATGATTGCGGCAGTCCAGTGAATTACGAATTTATATGGCAAAATCTATATGGTTGATAGGAATTTGCGTCAGGAAAAGTGCACAATCTTTTTCCTAAGCCCATCACATCAACTTTGAGGTATTCTAATGCTAATATACAATGTATAGAATAATCAGTATGAGTATGATTGCGGCAGTCCAATAAATTACGAAGTTATATGGCAAAATGTATATGGTTGATAGGAACTCGCATCAGGAAAAGTGCACAATCTTTTTCCTGAGCCCATCACATCAACTTTGAGGTATTCTAATGGTAATACACAATGTGTAGAATACTCAGGGTAAATATGATTGCGGCAGTCCAGTGAATTACGAAGCTATAAGGCAAAATCTATATGGTTGATAGGAATTTGCGTCAGGAAAAGTTTCGGTTTGTAATAGATGTGGGTTGGAACGCCTGCGGACGCCACAAATGTGTTTTGCAGGGATGTCGGAAACACAAATCAATGACAATACGATGCGAAATGATGTTTTTATATTTATATAATGTCAATAATACATTGATAAAACGTGTATACAAGTTAAAACTAATTATTTGACGTATTTTAAAAGGCATATTTGAGACCGTACTGTACATTATACGTAGCTAAGGCTTAACATAACGCGATCAATTAAAACTCCGAACATAAAAAGTGCATAATCTTTTTTCCCAAGCCCATCACATCAACTTTGAGCTATTCTAATGGTAATATACAATGTGTAGAATACTCAGTATAAATATGATTGAGGCAGTCCAGTGAATTACGAAGCTATAAGGCAAAATGTATATGGTTGATAGTAACTCGTATCAGGAAAAAGTGCACAATCTTTTTCCTAAGCCCATCACATCAACTTTGATGTATTCTAATGGTAATATACAATGTGTAGAATACTCAGTATAAATATGATTGAGGCAGTCCAGTGAATTACGAAGCTATAAGGCAAAATCTATATGGTTGATAGGAATTTGCGTCAGGAAAAGTGCACAATCTTTTTCCTAAGCCCATCACATCAACTTTGAGGTATTATAATGGTAATATACAATGTGTAGAACACTCAGTATAAATATGATTGAGGCAGTCCAGTAAATTACGAAGTTATATGGCAAAATCTATATGGTTGATAGGAATTTGCGTCAGGAAAAGTGCACAATCTTTTTCCTAAGCCCATCACATCAACTTTGAGGTATTATAATGGTAATACACAATGTGTAGAACACTCAGTATAAATATGATTGAGGCAGTCCAGTAAATTACAAAGTTATATAGCAAAATGTATATGGTTGATAAGAACTCGCATCAGGAAAAGTGCACAATCTTTTTCCTAAGCCCATCACATCAACTTTGAGGTATTATAATGGTAATATACAATGTGTAGAACACTCAGTATAAATATGATTGAGGCAGTCCAGTAAATTACGAAGTTATATAGCAAAATGTATATGGTTGATAGGAACTCGCATCAGGAAAAGTGCACAATCTTTTTCCTAAGCCCATCACATCAACTTTGAGGTATTCTAATGCTAATATACAATGTCTAGAATAATCAGTATGAGTATGATTGCGGCAGTCCAGTGAATTACGAATTTATATGGCAAAATCTATATGGTTGATAGGAATTTGCGTCAGGAAAAGTGCACAATCTTTTTCCTAAGCCCATCACATCAACTTTGAGGTATTCTAATGCTAATATACAATGTATAGAATAATCAGTATGAGTATGATTGCGGCAGTCCAATAAATTACGAAGTTATATGGCAAAATGTATATGGTTGATAGGAACTCGCATCAGGAAAAGTGCACAATCTTTTTCCTGAGCCCATCACATCAACTTTGAGGTATTCTAATGGTAATACACAATGTGTAGAATACTCAGGGTAAATATGATTGCGGCAGTCCAGTGAATTACGAAGCTATAAGGCAAAATCTATATGGTTGATAGGAATTTGCGTCAGGAAAAGTTTCGGTTTGTAATAGATGTGGGTTGGAACGCCTGCGGACGCCACAAATGTGTTTTGCAGGGATGTCGGAAACACAAATCAATGACAATACGATGCGAAATGATGTTTTTATATTTATATAATGTCAATAATACATTGATAAAACGTGTATACAAGTTAAAACTAATTATTTGACGTATTTTAAAAGGCATATTTGAGACCGTACTGTACATTATACGTAGCTAAGGCTTAACATAACGCGAACAATTAAAACTCTGAACATAAAAAGTGCATAATCTTTTTCCCAAGCCCATCACATCAACTTTGAGCTATTCTAATGGTAATACACAATGTTTAGAATAATCAGTATGAGTATGATTGCGGCAGTCCAGTGAATTACGAAGCTATAAGGCAAAATGTATATGGTTGATAGTAACTCGTATCAGGAAAAAGTGCACAATCTTTTTCCTAAGCCCATCACATCAACTTTGAGGTATTCTAATGGTAATGTACAATGTGTAGAATACTCAGTATAAATATGATTGAGGCAGTCCAGTGAATTACGAAGCTATAAGGCAAAATCTATATGGTTGATAGTAATTCGTATCAGGAAAAAGTGCACAATCTTTTTCCTAAGCCCATCACATCAACTTTGAGGTATTCTAATGGTAATATACAATGTGTAGAATACTCAGTATAAATATGATTGAGGCAGTCCAGTGAATTACGAAGCTATAAGGCAAAATCTATATGGTTGATAAGAATTTGCGTTAGGAAAAGTGCACAATCTTTTTCCTAAGCCCATCACATCAACTTTGAGGTATTCTAATGGTAATATACAATGTTTAGAATAATCAGTATGAGTATGATTGCGGCAGTCCAGTGAATTACGAAGTTATATGGCAAAATGTATATAATTGATAGGAACTCGCATCAGGAAAAGTGCACAATCTTTTTCCTGAGCCCATCACATCAACTTTGAGGTATTCTAATGGTAATATACAATGTTTAGAATAATCAGTATGAGTATGATTGCGGCAGTCCTGTGAATTACGAAGCTATAAGGCAAAATCTATATGGTTGATAGGAATTTGCGTCAGGAAAAAGTGCACAATCTTTTTCCTTAGTCCATCACATTAACTTTGATGTATTCTAATGGTAATATACAATGTGTAGAATACTCAGTATAAATATGATTGAGGCAGTCCAGTGAATTACGAAGCTATAAGGCAAAATCTATATGGTTGATAGGAATTTGCGTCAGGAAAAGTGCACAATCTTTTTCCTAAGCCCATTACATCAATTTTGAGGTATTCTAATGGTAATATACAATGTTTAGAATAATCAGTATGAGTATGATTGCGGCAGTCCAGTGAATTACGAAGTTATATGGCAAAATCTATATGGTTGATAGGAATTTGCGTCAGGAAAAGTGCACAATCTTTTTCCTAAGCCCATCACATCAACTTTGAGGTATTCTAATGCTAATATACAATGTATAGAATAATCAGTATGAGTATGATTGCGGCAGTCCAGAGAAATTACGAAGCTATAAGGCAAAATCTATATGGTTTATAGGAATTTGCGTCAGGAAAAGTGCACAATCTTTTTCCTAAGCCCATCACATCAACTTTGATGTATTCTAATGGTAATATACAATGTGTAGAATAATCTGTATAAGTATGATTGAGGCAGTCCTCTAAATTACCAAGTTATATGGCAAAATGTATATGGTTGATAGTAACTCGTATCAGGAAAAAGTGCACAATCTTTTTCCTAAGCCCATCACATCAACTTTGATGTATTCTAATGGTAATATACAATGTGTAG